GCTGCTGTATGTTATGTGTGTAGCCCTGCCTCTCACAGAGTGATGTTCCATATATCCGATGAAGTTTTGATGATAAAAGCATTGCCAGTCTTTAAAATGTTGCAATGCTGATATGACTTTTGTTGCACAAGAGTAACACTCCTCATCCTCTAGAAACAGTTTAACAATGAAGTCAGCCCTGTTGCTATTTGGGCTTAGTCTATCTTGGGTGACTTCCAGAAAAGTTAGACTTGCCTGTGGTGATTGTGAATTCTGGGATATATCTTGGGATCTATTGTCCCAGCACGTGCTTTGGTAAGAGTCCCAAAGGGCCTTCCTCCCACATACATGTGCCCAGGAATATCTAAATAACGGGAAGCATCATCCAAAGCGATTTTTCTCCAGAACTCACTGAAATTCACAGGGGTTTATGATTTTCTCCTAATTTTCTTTAAATTTTATGTTATTATTTTACTATTTTATACAAAATACAATCCTATGCCAACCCATTCATCAATCTGTTCTACCGTGGAACTTTAAATACTATTTGCATCCTGGGTGTTAAATAGTACTGTTATCCTACAGTAATATTCTTGGGGGTCAAACATTCATGCTATTGCTTTATTTCTAATTTCTAATAAAAATCAGTGCTAACTGATTTTAATGCTTTAATTTCTTTTAGGTTGCTGTACTTTGGTCATATCAAAGAATGTATTCACATGTGATTTTATCATCTAAATATGCAGCCCTACTTCTATTTATCTATTTGTTCAGTCTTTCCCAACTTGATACTTTCCAGATACGTTGAATAACATTCCAGTTATCCCCAATTACCCTACCAATATCCATATATAGCCTTCTAAAATTGCTTTTGATGATTTGCCAGTCTCTGAAACTGTTTGTAGTGATCGAAACAACCACGAGTTTAGGAAGGAAGGGTTTTGCATCCATCTGTCAAACTTCCTGGCATAAAGAAATGCAAGAATGCCTTCCTGTGGTCAAATAACAGATTACAAGTACAGGTAGTCCTCAACTTATGACAATGGAGCCCAAAGTTTCTGTTGCTAAATGAGTCATTTGATAAGTGAGATTTGCCCCATTTTACAACCTTTCTTGCTAAGTGAATCACTGTGGTTGTTAATTTAGTAACATAGCTGTAAAGTGAAATTGGCTTCCTCATTGGTTTTGCCTATCAGAAGGTCACAAACGTTGATCACATGACCCTGGGACACTGCAACCATCATAAATATGAGCCAGTTGCCAAGCATCTGAATTCTGATCATGTGACCATGGCGATGCTGCCATATTCGAAAGTGTGAAAAACAGTCATAAGTTACTATTTCAGCATCGCTGTAACTTTGAACAGTCACCAAATGACTACCTGTACCAGACACTAGCAGATCGCAACTTGCAATATTAATGGCAGCTAGCCTTGTATTGCATTTTTATTATACTCAGTCTTCAGTATGAATTATTTCTGAAGGGAATCAACTGCACTCACTTCCTAGTGGTTGACAATTATTTTTCAAATCTGTTTCTAACCATCGTTCCCCAAACTTCATTTTGAAAATCTTGTTCTCAATAGCTGAGACCTATCCATTCAGCCCCAGCTTGAGCTGTTGTGTATAGTTGAGTTTGAATGGCTTCTATTTCTATGGTTTTGAAATGGCTGGTTTGATATTTCTCTTTTCAGAATTCAATAAGTGTTATTACATTTTTTTAAAATTTGTGGTGGGCAAGCATTTTATGGGTGAAGACAAAGATGTTATCCCATTCCAGTCCAGGGATAGGAGGGGAAACACATAACTACCCTGGCAATACCACAGTGCTTTGTCCTGTGCCCAGGAAGCCAGACCAGCCTAGGGAACTCCTAAATTAATCTGACTAGTCACCCAACATACTTTCTTTTTCTTTTTGGCAGTATTGCTGTTGTTGTGGACTATTTTAGCTGCTTGGTCTTCACACCACTGAAGTCTCACACCCATCCACCTACCCACCAAATCACACCACTGAAGCGTAAAGGGTAATTGTTTCATGTGGCAGGGAATTTTTTTTTTATTTGCAACTGGGGGAGGGATTGGGAGGTGGGGGAGAAAAACTGGACTAAAAGAATCCTGGCTGCAACATATTTGGAGCATATTTGCTTTGCATGAAAGAATTCTCCTAAGCAATGAGCTCTGCCCCCATTCTGCCATTTTCAAACCAACTGATTTTTGCTATGAGAAGATTCTAGGAGTTTTCAAAAGACAATCAGAACATCAATATAGTCCAAGATGAATAATAAACCAGACCATTTTAGCCACTATGGTAGATATGTCACTTTGTGTTGTTACAAATTATGTTTTGACACCCAAAGGCCTTTTTGTTGCAATAGGGGAAGATGCATTCATTAATAAAATTATGGTAAATAGTCTTTATCTACAGCGATCTCTGGTTATCGCTTCTCTTTCTCCAAGAGCCAAAATGTAACCCCACTTGTTACTTACTACAACTTTCAGCTTCTTCCTCACACCATCGGACGCCAACTCTCCCCGGACACTCGCTTTGACCTCAATATCATGTAATCCTTGCTGTAATGGGACTATCACAAACGGTACTGCCCAGGAGGACAGGGCTCTAACTGGGACCTGCACTCGGTATCTTTGTCCTTCTGTGGAAGCACTGCAGAAGGCTGGGTTGTATAACAGTTCCACTCGCACCTAGTGGAGGTGAAAAAAAGCACATAAGCCACCAGGCAGCTTTGGCCATAAGAATCATTTAAAATCCAGCTTTCCCATAGATGACACAAACACATTCCCCACCAAATCTGTCCCTACACCAGCAAATCATTGTGACACATGGAAGGAAAGACAGAAGAAGGGTACACACAGAGCACACATACATCATATCATGCAATTTATCCTTCCCTTTGCTTCTTCATAGACTGGTAGAAAATAGGACTGTGTGAACAAGTCAGCATTTATACA